TTTTTATGAGGAATGTTTGCGAGTATATCGTGATTTTTCTAAGTTTTACCCTAATTTTGATTGGACGGTAGACAGAAATTCCAGGTGTTTTTACGATATGCTGATTAGCAAGGTAATTACTGAACCTCGATGTTTGAAAATATTTCCTAATGTTAATTTTAAACAGCCTTTTATCAATGTATATAATAAGTTTGTGGATCCCCTCAGCAGAGAGACCACGTTTAAATTAATTCACAATATTGTTCCGACAAATTTCTGTTATTTTTTAAAGGACCAGTCAAAGTCCAAATTTTGTTGTTTTTGTAGAAAATACCCAGAGACTCAAAATCATTTGTTTTATTATTGCAGTGTTGTGCAGTTTTTATGGAGAATAGTTCGTAATTGGGTTGTTGCTCTTAGTTTGGGTGAGATTGATCTCAATGTTTGGCACGTTATTTTTAACGATATCCCACAAAAGAAAGGAAAAGTTATCCACGACATTATTTTATTAGTCGTTGCTTTGGCTAGACGGCATATTTGGACCTCTCGCTGTGATGCTAAATTTAAAAATAAGACCGTCTCTTCATCTGGGTTAGTATTGGGATATATCGAAAAGATCAAAATTAGAATTTGGGCGGACCGGGTCCGACTCAGTGAAACTTTGTTTAAAAGTTATTGGCTTAACCCTGGTATGTTCTGTTCTTTAGACAAAAACGATAAATTAAAATTTTTAATTGATTAGTTTTTTGTCACCAGCCATGGATAACAATTGTATAATTTAATATTGTAATAATTATTTGTTTGTATTGACATTACCCAGTCACTTACTACAGTCCCGTTACCTTGCTTTTATTATCAAGTCTTTTTACTACAGTACTGTTAGATAGTTACAGTCACATTTGTCATTCAATAGCATAATATTTTCTATATACTTTTTGTCTTAAAACTATTTTGTGTAATATTTTTTATTGATTTTATATATTTATTTATTTTCTTTTCATATAATTCAGTTGTATGTTTTCAATAATAGTCAGAATGCATCCTTTTGTCATTCAGTACTGTAAAAGTAATCAGGATTAATACACAACATTTCTTACCAATTGTGATATCAGATTTAAATTATTAGATTATGTAATGTGACTTGTATATATTTGTAAATAATTGTGTACATTATTTGGTGCTTGGTGATAATTTATTTATTAAGGGCTGAGGNATTTTTTTTTTTTTTTTTTTTTTTTTTTTTTTTGGGGTTTGGTTATCATTTTTGT